CATGTTCCTCACACCAGCCTCGTTCCCGTATCTGTCTCCTTACATCGCCTCCAGCGTCCATCTCCTCTCTAACCCTGTGCTCTTGTCACACAAGTCTCCCCAGCAGTCACCTCGCAATGTAGTCAGTCCTCACAAGACAAGCCTCCTCTCTGAGGACAGTTTCAATGTAGACCTTCAGCGCAGCCTTCTCTTACTCCCTTCCGTCACTTGCCTGCCTTTGTTCACGAAGCTCTCATGCTTACATTATGGCAAGGGATTCCGTATTCTTCTCCTGCCGTGGAAAGGCCCCTCGCACCCCTTCCCCTCCGCACCCCATGTCAGCCATCCTTTCTAGCAATATTGACAGGGTGCTTCCCTGGTTTCTACTGTATTCGCCTTCAATTCCCTGTAACCTCACATTGTTTCAACCACACCGTTTCCTTAAAAACTTGCCACTGAAGTTTTGGGAACATAATCTCTACTAATACCATTCCTATTTGCTTCCTTATTCAGTGTCTCTTTATCACTTACTTAGCCATACGGAATCATTAGTCTTTACTTACACAAAAAAATCCAACCAGTTTGCCCAGGCTGTGATCTGCCATTGTTCCTGTTTGTCTGCTTGTTCCCCTTCCTCAATTGCCAACAGGGTTCCCAGGGTTCCTATAATCTTTCATTGCTAATGTCTGTCCTGCCTCTCCATTCTTACTTGGTCATGACCTTTGTCCCTACCATAATCCCATATCTGTCCTTTCATTGTTTTAAATGCCTCAGCCAACCCATTCCAGGTCTGTGTTAACTTCCACTTTTTTCTTTTCTTCGTCCCTCTTCCTCTGGCAGAAAACCCTAGCTGAATTTAACCATGAACATTCTTCCATCAACCCCTACGGCATTAAAAGAGCATCTGTAGTCTTGAAAGGCACTCTTTCTATACGGGTCAACCCACTATCATCACGTTTTCAACACGCTCTATTAAAGTCGTTTGTTCTCTGAACTCAAACCTGTTTGTCACAGGACTCCCACCGGTGACCCTCATCGCCTCTAACATTTCAGTCTCTTGTCTGCCTTGGCTCACCAGAGCCCGTTGGGAAACATGTAGTCTCCTCCATTTGAAATGCAAGGTATTTCAAATTTGTTCCTTAGCAAAATCTCTTCTCAGCACCTATCCATTAGCATATCTCTTACTATTTCCAGCTACCCGTGGCCTTTCTGGCCTCTTTCCTTTAGCTCATGCACCTTCCTCCGCTCACCAAAGCTCTTTCATATCTTTGGAGATGCAATTAAACTGTTACATCCTTTCAAATGTTTTATGATGTTCCCAGGCTGTTAATCCTGCACTCCCACACAGCCTGCTATTAAAAGTTGTATTAAAGCGCCTATGGCATTGTGATATCATAGGTATATGAGTAGATCTTTCTCACACACACATACTCTTTATTTAACTCCTAGACAATTAGCTATTAGAGAAAAAGATCATGTCCCAGTCATCTTTTTAGCTAAGAGTCTGGTACATTAGTTTACACCTTTACATATAATGTTAACATGTACTGACATTTACTACATGTTTGGAGGGAGTAAGTTTAAAGTTAAAACTGAGCAGATGAAAAGTCTCACTTAACCATATGGTCACATACAGCCTTTACATCAGAGTCTGTTCTTCCCTGTTCTGGCCTATGCCCCAGATCATCTTTGAACTCCCCAATTTCTAATATTTGTGTGCCTTTTCCAGACCATGGGTTACACCCTTTACTTCACACACAGGTCATAGATCCCCTCTTTCAGAAAGTTCAGAAAATCCTGTCTTCATGAAGTTCACTTTCCCAAAATGGGCCCCTACCTCCATTTCTTACTACTTCCAACCAGTCATCTCAAAACATATAACCACCCACTTGCTTTTCCATGTACGACCTAAGCGTTACCGGTCCTAGCACCTCCTCACTGACCTCGCGGTAGGCTGGAAGTAGGCATAGAGCAAATTCATTCTGGTGATCTGCGGACCCACTGTTGGCCCACAGTCTAAAGGTAGTATTATCTTTTGATATTTAGACTCTGTTGTGCTTAGTGTTAATGATCTGTGTGCTTTTTTACCATCCATACTTCTTGCTTTGTTAGCTCCTAAAATAGCGGTCCTTACATTTTTCCCCAGGCAGCCCCCTTCCACAGGCATGGCAAGAAGCTCCCCAAAGCATCTCCCCTGCTGCTTCCTTTACACCAGCGCAAAAGCAGAGTTTTGCCAGCATCGTCTTTTCTGTACTATTCTAACCCGCAGTGGGGGGTGATTCTAAAGTGACCCTTTGTGAGACTGCCTCTTGACCAGCTCACAGGCTGCTCTGGGGAACTGCTACCCCAGAAGGCAGAGTGTCGAACGTTGCATTTGATAGTACAGAACACAGTGCCAAGTGCAGCCGGTGCCTCCTAAGTCACCGAGGGGACTCTGTGCGAGCACCGCCCATTGACAAGGCTCACCTGCTCTTGCTCCTCCAGTTGCAGGCACCTTTAGCTGCACCATGAAGTTTACTGTCCGGGACTGCGACCCTGACACTGGGGTTCCAGCGGAGGAGGGGTACGAAGACGAGTACGTGGTGAGTCACCCCTGCAGAGAGGCACTGTGGCACCCTCGCGCCGCTGACTTCTGCCTTAAGAGGACCTTCTTCTAGGAACACCTAAGGCGAACTCGGGGGGTTTCGGTCGTCTGAGATTACGCTGGGGGCGGGGGGCGGGGGAGACTGGGCCTCGGCTGTCAGGGGTGTGGCTCGTGCCTAAGAGAATTGAGATTCGCCACTTCCTGACTGAAACAACACTCACCCTTTTTAATGTTTTTATAATAGGGATAATTACAAGGTGAAAATGAGTATATGATTTTCATTGAGATCAACAAGTTTTATTTACAATATTGGGGTTGTTGTTTTGTTCAGCAGCTTTTAGTTCGCTGATACGTAGCTACATCATGGACTGAAAAGTCTTCATAGACTGCAGGGGAAACTTTAAGAAATATCCACCTGCTGGGGAATGTTGGGTTCAGAAGGCCCTGTACGGCCTGAACTTCACGGTTAGGTGTGGCAACAAGGCTGCTCTGTACCCCAGGGCTGTAGATGTTGACCTGAATGTGGCTCTTGCCATATTTTCTTGCTTTCCTTCTTAGCGAAGGCCTACATCATTAGCGTTATCTAGACTACAGGACTTCACACTGCTTTGCTAATAGAGTTTTTCCTAGGCCACAAAGGATGTAATGCAGAATGAGAAAGCCATGTTAATCAGGCCCTTCCACCTCTGTCCTGCAGGAAGAGGACTCTCATTTACTGACCTCTGCTTGTGTCCACTAGCTGGAAGATCTTGAAGTGAATCTGTCTGACCACATTCAGAAGGTGCTGAAGCCTAACTTCGCTGCTGCCTGGGAAGAAGTGGGAGATACTTATGAGAAAGAGGAGACCTTTGCCCTCAGTTCTACCAAAACTCTTGAAGGTGAGAACAATTTCACTATCAATGTATAGCCTGACAGCAGCACGAAACCTAGCGGGAATGCTTACTATCCCAGAAGAACACTTCTCTTTAAATGCTGCATAAACTAGTTCACTTAAAAGGCCAGGACCCTGTCATCATCTCCCGGAATTGAGTCAACCAGTTCCTAGCCCAGCGGCCTCCATCCACACACTACCCCTTCTACCCACAGCCCCCAGCACGTACTGGTGTAGAGGCAGACACCTAGGCTGACCTTTCCTGATCCTGTTGCCTTACTTTTGTCAACACAGAAGCTGTCAACAACATCATCACATTCCTGGGCTTGCAGCCATGTGAGAGGTCCGACAAAGTACCAGAGAACAAGAATTCCCATTCCCTCTATCTGGCAGGTAAGAAACTTCCATTGGATTTCCCCTTTCTTTTGTTGCAGAACTTGATAGTAGGGGGATACGCACGGGCATCTCCTGCCCTGCCCCTGCCCCTGCCCCACCGTATGAGTTACATACACTGTATGAGTTACAAGTTACAATCTGAAGCCCTATCAAAAGGAAGAATTTGTTTTAGCTATTTAATTTGCATGCTGTCCTTACATTGTTCTTTTAAGATGTATATTTGGCCTAAACCACTTGCTTAAATCTGTCCCACAAATACCAACGCCACCACCTCCCCCCGATTTGAGTGCACCAAGCCAATACTCTTGAATACCTTCTATGTACCTGGTATCATGGGAATATAAAAGATTATTTTGAATTTGTATGTAGGACTCAATTCCCACCATAACACAAATCTCCAGAAAAGCTAAACTAAAATAATAGAAAGGAAGTGCAGGCAGAGCACAATAAAGTTCACTAGTCAGAGCTTGCCTTGAGTTCTTACTACGGTTTTCCTCACTTTTTTCTCTCAGGTGTATACAGAGGTGGCTATGACTTATTGGTGAGGTCCAGGCTGGCCTTAGCAGATGGCGTGACCATGCAGGTGACCGTCAGAAGCACAGAGGAAACACCTGTAGATGTTATCTTGGCTTCTGTGGGATAAGTTTTTACTGGGCAAGATGAAGTTGATGCACTTCACTGTCAGTGGGCTTTCAGGCTAGTGGCATGAATTTCCCAGAATCATACTTTTAAAGATTATGATTTTGGAAAAGCAAATTAAATGTGTGGCCCTGAGCCAGCAGATCAAGCCAGTGTCCGTCCTCGTGCATGTCTTTTGTTCTGTTTTCCTTTTTATTTACACTGGTCAACCCTGGTATGATAGCACAGCTTTGGGTGAACTTAAAAAGCAAATACTACCCTATGTCCCAGCTGCTTAATTTCATTATATTCTTTAATTTAATGTGTCTGAAAGCTCCTGGCAATGTTGGAAAGCTTTTATCCCAGAGGGTGGTGGGGGAGGGGAAGGCAGAGTCCGCTTTTGTCAAAATTCATTTTTATTAATAGAAAATAAACACTTATTCCACTTTCAGTTGTTATACTTGAAGTTGCTGATTTTAAAAAGGAAAATTTAAAATAATCACTTAATCATCCTGTTTTGACTAAAACAATGAAAACTGTGGCTTAAAAAAAAAAAGGATTCAGCACCATTTGCTCATAGGCCTTTCAGAATTTGTTCTTGAAGTTTCTGGAACTTTCCTGTCTGTAAAGCACAGGAATTGAGGAGCTACATGAGGAAGCCTCTCTGGGACAACCAGTGAGAAGCTAAGCCCTCGTCAGAAACGGAATCTGTGTGCACTCAGCGCGGTAGCTGGGACTGTACAACGCTCCCCTCCCCTCCACATTAGCTCGGGAGGGACGTGCTTCAAAGCACTGAGGTATGAAGAGTCAGGCTGTTATTTGCTGTTAAAATTGGTCTTTCCAGCCAATAACAGTAAATCCCTGGCATAGGTGCTATTGGTCTTTAATGTCCTGTGATTTTTTTCTTTTTTTTTCTTTTTTTTAGGAAATTTTGTAAATAGTTTGGATTGAGTTCAGCTTATTCAGAAGTTAACTATTGTTTAATAATGTTCACTATTCTGCCAGAGTAAGTGTCTGCTGGTTTAGTACCCTCCTAAAATACACATAATACATGTAAGTAAATCATAGTCTTAAAGTACACTTAGAATACTGCATTATTTAAACGAAAAGCTACTTTTAACACAATGTCTATAATTAAATGCAACTTATGAAACTACGTCAAAGTTAGGACAAGGGAGACTCCCTCTCCCTGGAAGCTATGCTACTGAGAAAACGTAAAAAAGCAGGTGCCCTTAGAGCCATTCAGGAGAGGTAAGCAGGCACCATCTCCTCGTTCTTCACTGTACGATTCGAACCGGGCCTTGGCCAGAAACTAGCACTTCTAAATATTTCAGAAAAGTCCACAGAAATGTTAAAAGATTTGTGCAAAAGAATGTCTGTCTTTCTGCAACCTTGAGTAGTAGTGCTCAATGGAATTTCCTAACAACACAAAGGCAAAGGCAAGTCCATACACTTGATCAGATGTCAAAGGAATGGGAGGTGGACTATTAGGTCACCCTTAGTCGGAGCTTCTACTGGCTTTCTACTGTATGCTGTTCACCAATGTGAGTCATGTGGACCTTTGTGAGAGAAGAGTGTTTGGTGGCCAGGACCTCTTTTGGGCATTTCTTTCTAAATGGAATACACAACAGATAAGGGAGCAGGGGAGGTAATACAGGGAAGCTACTCTTTCCAGCTCAGAAGGAGTTGATGAAGCCCATATATGCATTCAAGAAGCCCATGGGATCCTCTAGCTGTGGGTAGTGGCTAATGTGGTCATCCAGAATCGACACTGTGGACCGCGGCAGCGTTTTCCTAGTGGAAGAGAACAGCATGGAGGTGAACTTGAGGCTGGAGGGAGAGGGAGGGAGGGAACCAGCAAAGAGCTTATTCAGCTTCTATTTTGGAATCGTATCTTGGACAGATAAGCTTGCCAATCCCATTTATATGACATGTACACACTGGATTTTAAATGTTCATAATCCAACAGACAACAACTTGAAAATATAACATTTTTGCAACACACGTCAAAACAGGATGACTTGGAGCTCCTTAGAGAAGCCTGAGGCATCAAACAAGTGGACCGCTGTCCAAGTCAAGATAACAAAAGATCTTCCTTAACCCTGGGAGGAGGTGAGAGAGGGTATTTTGTTGAAAGTTAAATGCAAGCTATTTACTACTGGGTTGTTTCTACTAGGCCATATGAAGGTATGGAACATTCTTATGTGCCAAAGTCAAGATTTCATTTTCCAACCTTCCAAGTAAGCACCTAGAGAGAATAACAACCAATGCGTAGACCCTTTCCCACAGTGAGCTCTTCTCAATCCCTCCCTGCAGTTACTCAGCTGAGGTCAATGAGTTGGCTTTACAATCACCTAAAGCAAACATGTCCTCTAAACTTTACGCGTTTCCATTCCTTAGTTCATATGATAGCATTTCCTTACCTGTACACCTAGGAATATGTAGGAACCATGACAGTGAAAACAGGCTGTACAAATCAAGAGAATGTTTAACAATTTCCTGATCTTTACATGTATGTGAGCATAAGATTCCCCATCTCGTCCTTTACTATATGTTTCCCGGATGGACGGCCAGTGAGGTCAGAGGTAGTCGGCCGGGAGCTAACCGCACAGAGCCCCTGACGAAGACTCACCTGTACAGCTCCAGAAACTCCGGGGAGGGGTTCACCGGATCCAGAGGCCCGTAGATGAAGTGAACTGGAGGGAGAAGAGGAACGGATTACTAACAGCTCTTACCTGTTCTACCCCCATGCTAAAATTACGCCTCCCCCAAAAAAGCATTTTCTTTAAAGAAACTTTTACAGTTGAAAACCTAGCTTCTGTCCATAAGTAGGTTATAAGAAACTTCCGAGAACAAGCTGAAAACTGAGTCCACTTGGGCCATTTTCTCCTGTAGACCACCCGCCATCCAGCCCCACTGCAGCGGCCTCCTTCTCTAAGCCCTGGGCACGCTCATTCTTGAAGTCTCTACTCAGTAATAACTGGCCCCTGACATTTGAAATGAACTATTTTTTGAGCACTAACTACAATATTATGTGTGAGACACAACCGATTTTTTTCTTCTTTTTAAACCTGTAAGAATGAAGACACAAATGAGCAAAAACCACCTGTAGCCTCTTGATTAGTAATCTAAACAGCCTCCTGGCCCGGAGTCCAGCATTTGCTGTGGCCGCCGCTGGCAGGGGCCAGCCCAGGAGCCAGTCTAAGCCGCGCTCCCGGCAGTGAGACCAACTACCTCAGCAGGAGTGGCGCGGTGTTTTATATGCTTCACTCGGCAGCACGCCGCTGGTGTCCAGGTGCGGGGAGGGCCGCCGGTTCCACGAAGGGTGACCAGTTCAATTTGAATTTCAGATAAGGATTTTTTTTTTTTAGTATTAGTATGTCCCAAATATTTCACAGCACATACTTTGCCCCCCGCCAAAAAGAAAAGTATTTGTCCTGTTTCTGAAATTCAAATTTAGCTTGTTGTGTTACTATATTTTTAGTTGCTAAAACTAGCAATTATTTTAACCCCAGAGGCCCTCAGTTTTCCTATCAAAGTGTAATGTAAAAATACTCACTAGGAATAGTTACCGAGGCCAGAGCTCCTACCCAGCGTCTTCTAAACTTCTTCCTCTGATTGATGTACTGTAAGAGACTATAGAGCGCAGGTAAGTCAGCAGGAGTAGAACAAGAAACCTTTATTGTTAGAGGGATGCAAAGGCCTGGCGTGAGCCACGAGGAACACAGTATGGCGCTCCTGGGATTAGCCCACTGAACTTATCCGTTTGTTAACCTCTAGCGCTAGCCTCCATGTGGCCACGGCAGTGATCGTGCCTACTATCGATGTAAGAACTAATGTTTCTCTCTGTGAAGCAGGAAATGAGAACTAGGAAGGCTACAAATTAGTTTGGGTTACATGTAATTCAAACCCAGGTTTGGATTGTGCCTCCGCCACTAATTAGCTCTGTAACTCAAAGGTCTAAACACATCCTTTGACCATTTTCCTCCTCTTTAAAATAAGAGGGCTGAACTACACGATCTCTATATTGACATCCACTTCTAAAATTCTAACTGTAGAAGTGCACAAGCACAAAGCTTCAGTGTCCGCGTTTCATCTGACCACAGGTAAAATGGAGGATTTCTCCTTCTACAGTGACAAGATGCAACAGCCACATTTTAGAGCTCGAACACATATATTCTAATTATTCTGCCTGGAAACTCCAGGAGTTACAAAGCTCCACTGTCACCTCTTAGAAGCAGTGCTTATGTTTTGGACTCTACCGTCGCTCTCTCCCTCGAGCATGGCTTTTTTCGGTGAACCTCACTGAGTCATAACCGACCTGGTGAGGCGGCAGAGGCAGCCGGGGGCAGCGCAAGCAACCCCACCTCCTTCCCTACTTCCTGACAACAGCCTCTCTGAACACCAAAGCGAAGGGTTATTTCTTACCTGTCGATAACTAAGTTCCCGTCATTGTTGCGAATCCCTGCCCACATGTCCCACAGCTCACTCTCAGAGGGTCGGGTGTATGGCCCGAAGACGGGGGTGAGCCTGAAAGAGTCCACAAAAGCAGAAAGAGAAGTGTGAGAAGAATGCGGGGTGTCCCAGGTGACAGGGGCCTCAGAGGTCGCATAGTCTAACCCTGAACTGATTGACGAATTCCTTCTATTCCTTCCCTGGCACACGGCCAACACCTCTGCTTTAAAGCATCAAACCCTAGGGCTTGGCCCAGAATTCTAAGGGCAGCAGCTTTTCACTGCACAGCAGTAAGTCAGCCCCTGACAATGACTTACCCTCGAGAGAACACAAAGAAGTTCATCAGTCGTGTGAGGATGGGCGACAGCACGCCTCCATCTTTGAGAAGCTACAGGTAAATAAGAAAAAGTAAAAATCAAGAATCCAGAGAGAGAAGACAGCTACCCAGCAGAAGAGATTTTATACTTAAAAACCAAGAAAAAGATGTGAGCCAAATCTCCTACAGACAAGTTCGGTCACTAGCTTTTACTTTTTTTTGTCTTGCCTTCACACGTTCTTCCCTCACGGAAAGCAAACTATTTCTAATTCCCTTTAAGATTACATTTCTACACTTCATGGAATCCCTAAGATTTTTAACTGATAGATTCAACTTCAGACTAGGATCCCAACTTGATCCAACATCACGCTGAGGCACAGACCTTCACGCAGCGGCATTTCTCCAAGTATTTGTTGCTCTCTCACTCTCAGAAAGTATTACGCTTCATGAAGGGGCCACGGCCACTGCTTTATTTGCATAAGAAGGAGAAAACTAACTTTGTGAATGTAAATTGATGAGAAGGATTTTAACTATGGCCTTTCACAGCAGAAATGGCCCTTTTAAAGGCCCCAGCATTATTTATGTCAGTACAAATCTTAAGAACTAATGATGTAGTCAGTGGAGTAGCCAACCTTTTGCAGAAGGAGAGGACGATGAGTCTCAGGAAATATACCTGTAGGAAAAGAAGAGACTGGCATTAGCCGTTTTCCAACAGCCTGAGGGCAGACACAGGCCATCACTGGGGACCACCTACCCTCTCGCTGTCACCTTTGAGGCCTTCACTGCTAAAAAACGAATTACAAATGAAAACTTAGTACTGTCATCTGACTCCTTCTGCATGGAATTCTGGGTTTAACAGGTCAAACTATGTCCCACTGGGATTACTTTCCAGATGGTAAAGGTAGAGAAATGGGGAAAACACTGTCCACGGGCACCCATATTGCTGACGACTGGCTCTGACTCCCCTTCGTGTTTCCTCCCGTTCCTCAGAACGTGGTGGTAAGGATTTGGGCAGCCAAAGAAACCAGGGATTTTTCAGGAAGCATAGGTCCAAAAAAAAAACCAACAAAACCCCAAAACCCCAAAACCTAGATTTTTCTTTTTCCGTTTTTCTCCAGAGTTAATGGGAGAAAGCCATGAGCATTACTTCTAAAGTGAGACTTCTCTCCCTGTCTGCCCTTATAGGTATTCGGGGGACCTTTGGAGGTTCGTGGATTTACAAGCCAAACTCAATGGCTAAGAGAAAGAAACATCTCCAAAAGGTCTTATAATCGAGTGTTTGCCAATTTCTAACTGAAACTTGGCACTGCCATCAGTTGAGAGTTTACAAAACCACAGTGGTAATAGAAGCACCTGTGGCTTCATCTCATATTTTCAAAAACCCACTGCAGTTGTTACAGGGATTGTGGAATATCTGCATTCCTCCCTACTCCTCCTCACTGTCACTTAGACCCACCACTAGATCTTGCTTTGATGCATAAAAAGGCACAGTGTTATTGTACTTATAACCCAGCTTTTTATTAACTGGATGTCAATATAATCAGTTTACTTTGGAATCCTATTCTTTTTAATATTTAAAAATATTATTTTGAGAAAGGGTCAGTTTTATCTTATCAGACCACCAAAGTGATTCCTGGCATAAAAAAAAGTAAAGATGCCCTGGTTAAACTGCATCCGTTTGCAATACCATTAGATTGCCATTTAGATGTCACTGATACCTAAAGGTGGCCCACGTCACCTTCCACCCACTGCCAAGGCAATTACCTCCATTTGACAGACAGAGACTCTTTATGGTAAGCCGGCCAGATCGATTCTGCTTGAACCTAGAAACAGGAGGCAAATGCATCTGAGTGGACAGGCACCAGTGTGGCGGCCAAACACAAACTTCCAAGAGGCAAAAGGGCTACAAAAGACGCAGGACCAATATACTTCTGCTAGCATCTTAAATGAGTAAACCCTGTGACCAGTACAGAGGTCTTTGGCTTCACTGACCTATAGAGAAGCTCCTGAGCAACGATGTCGCCATAATCATGAGACAAAAGGTTGATCCTGCGGTTCTGAAGTCCCAGATGCCGCAAAAGTGCCTCCACAATGCTGGCCTGCTCAAAGATGGAGTAGTGATGTGGTCTCTAAGGGAAAGAAAGCCCAGGCACACAGGATGAGGTCATGAATGCAGATCTGTCTGCCGGCCGGACCCCTCCATCTCATCCACCCCCTCCCTCCCTTGACACGGGTCCGCCCGGAGGCCGCTTACCGGTTTATCACTAAAGCCAAAGCCTAAGAAATCGAGGGCAATCACTCGATGAAACCTCAGCGTCAGGCCTTCCCAAATCTACAAGAGAGAAAGAGATGATTTGGACTTTGATCCCGCCCCGCCCCTCCAACTTTGGCGGCAAACGGGTTTCACCCATTTCTCAGCTTAATGAACAGACTTCAACAAAGGGAAAACCCACGTGAAGCCATTGCGGGCCGCAGACGCCCCCCTTGCAAAGTGCTCTATTCCTATATCACTCTCTGCTGAGAGAGAGACTCCAGCATTTTTTAACTTGGCAATGATCCTTCCCAGACTGCCAGTTTTTACTCCCTTACAATAAATGAAAAACAGTTCTATGTTTTATCCTATTTTATTTGGCAGTTCAAATATACAAGAACCTTTCAGTGCTGACAGCAAAATCCTTGATTTTGGATTTTCAGAGACATAGTAGGACCTAGAAAGTCTGATTTCATTACCTTGTACCAGTCATAGCTGGATGTTGGGAAGCCATGTAAAAGCACGACTATCTCCGGACTTCCAACCACACCTACAGAGTCTGGGAAGAAGGAGAGAGATCTGTTAGCCGAGCCCTATAAAAACAGCCTTGACAAAATTAAAGTCTAAGTAATCTGGTATAGAGGACGAGAAATCCTGCCCAAGTGAATGAAATTGAAAAGTAGATTTTTTTTTTTTAAATGCAAGCTTATTGCTTCAGGTAAAGCAGGCATTTAATTTTTTTAAATCTGTACTCTGTATATTAAAAAAATTATAAATGGCACACTTTATATGAAAATAAAGAGTCTGCTTAATTTCACCAAGTTTTTTTAAGCATTTCTCCCATTATTGTGTATTATTAATATGCAAATTGCTTTTCACAATAAAAATTAAACTTTCAGTTTAATTATACAGTTAAATGCATATACAATCACTATATATATAAACTACAAATTCTTTGTATCTTATCATTGATGGCCTCACAAAAATTCTCTAAAATACAGCAACTCTTCCTCAACCTTGTGAGTACCTTAGTTAATACTGTGTGTCCCACATTGTAATTTCTCATAGAGGAGATACATATCAAAATCTGGTATCAAAAGCATCATGCCCAAACTATTGCAAAATTCCAACAACTATAAAAATTATTAATCAATATAGACATGAACATTTTTAATGGATAAACATCTTTTAAATTATCCAATCATTTAAATAGTAGAATGTCTTTTTTTTTTTTAAGACTTTATTTTTTTTAGAGAGGGGGAAGGGAGGCAGAAGGAGAGGAAGAGAAACATTGATGTGAGAGAGAAACATCTATCGTCACCTCTCATACATGCCCCGACCAGGGACCAAACCCACAACCCAGGTGTGTGTCTTGACTGGGAATCGAACTGGCGACTTTTCCTTTTGCGGGACAATGCCCAACCAATTGAGCCACACTGGTCAGGGCTAAATAGTAGAATGTCTTGCTAATAATGTTAGATTAAAATTGATACATTCCAATTCTGCCAATGGCATAAGAATTTGAAAATAAGGTTTGCAAAATTTAGTCAGAAGCAATTAAAAATTTTATATATTTTTGCCTACACGTCTCATTCTTAGAATCCATGCAAATAAAATCGTTCTATTCCCAAGAAGTATAGTTTAAAATTTAAGGATAAAATAAACATATGGGAAGATCTCCCTTCAACATTAACTAAAACATTGAAAAACTGGAAGCAACCTAAATGACCAACATAATGAAAGCAATATACTTACTTAATTGAATATAGCAAATGAGAGGAGGTCAGGAGCAATAATGAAAAACGGTTTTATGACAAACATTTTTCGTTATTGCTCTTGACTCCCGCCCAAAAGAAATCTTTTCCAATTCATTTCTCAGGTTCTTTACCTATAAAAATGAGGTTAACAGCACCTATCTCCAAGTACTGTTAGATAGATCACATGAAATAATAAAGATTGAAAATATAATTCAATGTCTAGCATACGGTAATTACTTGATAAGGAGCAGTCATAACAATAATTATCATTAGCAAATTAATTTATACAAAGGCATAAAAGACTTAAATCACAGTTAGTTACACATATAACAATCTTTATAAGAAACAATAAAATGAAATCAAGAAGTTGTGGGGTGAAGAGAACCTACGGTAGCTTTATCTATTATTAGTGTTTATATTACCCAACACTAGGGGTGCTCAAAAGAAAAAATATCAATACAAATCAGACTACAAAAAAATATTATACTAAAAAAGTCAGTTCTACAGAAATTGGAATCTCAATTCTACCACCTCCTCCCTTCCCAGAGGGTTTTTTTTTTTTTTTTAATCCTCACCTGAGGACATGCATGTTATTGATTTTAGAGAGAAGGGAAGGGAGAGAGAGAAACATCAATTGATTACCTCTCGTACTCGCCCCAGCCGGGGATTGAACCCGCAACCTAGGTACGTGCCCTGACGAAGAATTGAATCTGTGAACTTTTGGTGTACAGGGTGATGATCCAACTACCTGAGCCACCCAGCCAGGGCCCCGCAGTTTTCTTTGCATCTCCCTGCTGTTAAGTTCCTTCAAACACACTTCCCAGAAAAGGGGGTTTTCCCCTCCATCACTGAGGGACATCGCTGAGAGAACAGGAGACACAGAGTAAGGCCTGCAGAGAGACCTTTGGGGTGTTCCAACAGTCCTGTCCTTACCTTGGTAGAAGATGCGCAGTCCCTTGTAGGTGAAAAACTTGCCTGATGACTTCCAGGAGTGAAGAGCAGGGGAGAGCTGGGGGGGCGGGATATGTAGATAGGCCGCCAGCAGGGGCACCGCCAACAGCCCCACCTGCACCCACCACTCCCGCATCCTGTAGGAAAATCAGAGACCAGGTAAGCAGTCAGGTGATCCTGTACACTCGTCTACTAGCCCCATGCTGGTAAGACAGGGTGGGGAATTGCGGTACCACGTGGTGATGTCCTAGCTCTCCCATGAACCAGGGCGGAACATTTTCCAAGAACGTAAAGAGCACCTCTGGCTGCTATGGCAATCACCATATTTGCTCACCATTCTAATTTTCAGGAAAAAAATATTTTAATATCTAATCTTCCTCCCCTTCTCCCCACTTTAGCTCTCAGCCCCTCCCCTTGTGCTGTTCCCGAGACCAGGAGAGGTTTTCATGTCAAGTAAAGGGGCAACTGCTGAAGTGCTGTGGTGCCCCTTTTCACTGGCTTTGATCAAGGCTTCCTTGGGGGGCGGGGGGGGAATGATTTCCTTCACATGTAATCTGAAAGCTCTACCACCACCAGTAAAATGGTATGCACCTTTTAGTTAATATTTTAAAATATATACCTGTCTCTATGTGTGTATAGTAATATCGCATGTCCTTCAGCACAAATCTCCTCTTGATTTTTTCATATTTCTCACCCCGCTGACCCCACTGAAGCCCTGTTTGGTCCTATTATCTAGAGTTGTGTTGGGAGGCAGCTCAGGGTGCGGAGTGGGTGAAAGTAAGAAGATAGGCGCACTCTGTGTGCCAACAGAAGCAGCTTTGTCGTGACCCTGAATATTTACTCTCTTGCGAGGTCAGGGCAGCAGGTTATAATTCTGCTTTTCTTAGCAGACTCTTGGGGGAGGCCCCATTTGTTTAATTTCTTAGGACCATTTGTTTAATTTCTTAGGACTGCGCCCCCCCCCCACCCCAAATAAGGTGGAGGTCATGTACAACACCTGGGAATTGCTTTTGTCATTGGAAGGAGAGCACGGTTTGCACCCCCAACCTTCCCATGCCCAGGACTTCAAAGGTCCAGGCTAATTTGTCCCTAATGACAATGAGCACTAAACGGCAATTAGAAACCATTCCTTTTTCTATCTTCTCACTCCTGAAGGCCACCAGGGAAAGAATTAGCAGCAGAACAGTTCTCTCAAAATAGCCCAAGTTGAAATACTTTTCAAAACTAAAATTTTAAAAAAAATCTATAAATAAGAGAAATTAATTGTCAAAGCCCTGGTGGAAACTGCTTTGTGTCTGTACACACCCCTTCCACCATATTACCTGTAGTCTGGCCACAATCCCTTCCCATCACAGAATAATCATTTCAGTGCTATAACACGCGCCTGTGGCTCCCCAGTGGTGAGACAACCACATCCCTTAAAGAATATAAGCTTCTTTGCCTTTTTAGGTATCACTACAGCAGTCTTTCCTCCCCTCCTACATACCTGTCCATAAAGCGAACGGCGTCAATGATTTGGCTCTACCTTTCAAAGTAATATTAGAAATGATTCAAAAAATGTCTGGAATGTGATGATTACATCTCAGTTTTCACCTCACAATAGTGCCAGGCGACCTCCCACTATCTCTTTGAAAGATGAGGTGACAAAAAGCATTTGGTTTAGATTGCCATTTTCTCAGAGCTCTCTGTACTACACTCCAGCTCACACATTTTAGGGTCGCCTTTCATCGCGCCTCATCCCCAGCTCCTCTGCTCTTCATTCAGGCCCCCGCAGCCGCGAATCTGCAATGACTCAGCAGAGGGCCAGGGAGGGGTTACTGAAGGAGCACGCGGGACCACCGCCCCCCGGGGGGGGGTTGGGAGCGGGGGTTGGGGGGGCGTACATACCCTGCTCCTGCACCCCCACCTTCCACACCCTCCTTCCCTTTTACTGTAAGAAAGCCGAGATGACCTTTCGGGGAGCCGTTCTCTGTCTTTATCACCTCAGTAAAAATGCCCCCAACAGCGTTTCAGGATTTTTTTTTTTTTTTTTTTTTTTAGGGACCCAAACTGGCAGTCTGTAGGAAAAATTGGGTTAAACATTTTTCACCAAAACCCCCATGATTTGAGGAGCTCTGAGTCAAGAGAATAAACATAGCCAACCCCAGTACAAACCTTCTGGAAATTAACCTTTCCCAGTCCTGATTTCTTCACCTCGTAAATGGGAAAAATATGTTTGATACCACCAAACCTGCCCACCTTATGGCATCTCGTGAGACTAGGAACTACTTTGTAAACCCATGCAAACAATTCATGTGTAACACGATGATTGGCCACATCACCATTCTTACTTGGCTTCTTGTTACTGAAATCTCAAAAATACTGACGCTCGGTGATAATAAGCGAATGCAAGTTCTAGTCACACCTATGCAGTAACTCTTGCCACGGCGACACCAGGGACTTCAAATCCTAAACTGCGCCACAGCAATAGGGGAATCTTGAAATTCTAAATTGCGCCACGGTTATATCTGACGTTAAAATCCTAAATTGCACCAAGGTAAAACCCAGGTCTAGAATCCTAAATTGCGCCACAGCAATACCCAGGTCTTAAAATCCTAATCGCACCACGGCTACACCCAAGCCTTGAAATTCTAAATCACGCCAAGGCAACACAGGAGTCTGAAAATCCTCAGTTGTGCCAGGGTGATATCCAGTGTTAAAATCTTAAATCCACCAAGATGAAACCTGAGTCTAGAATCCTGAGATCGCGCCAGGGCGAAGCCGCGGTCAAAAAATCCTATACCGCGCTGGGCGATGCCGGGGTCTAAAAATCCTAAATCGCGCCAGGGTGACGCCCGGGTCTAAAAATCCTAAATCACATCAGAGTGAAGCCAGGGTTCCGAAACCCTAAATCACGTTAGTGCAATGTAGGTGTCTAGAAATCGTAAATCACATCAGAACGATGCTGGGGTCTAAAAATCCTAGATCCCGTCAGAGGCAAAACCAGGGTCTAAAAATCCTTAGTCGCGCTAGAACAATGCTGGGGTCTAAAAATCTTAAATAGCGCCAGGGGGACGCGCCGGGGTTCTAGAAATCCTAAATCAGGGAGATCCCAAGTTCTACCGTAGGCAGAAGTGACATCCCCTCCCAAGTAGATAAAGCAGGAGGGCTCGCCGCCCAGCCCTCCCTGGGGTTTTTCCCTCCACTGCGGGAGTCGCGGTCCGGCAGCCTAAGCCCGGACACCCCAGTGCCCAACGGCTGCCGTGAGCCAGCCACACCCCCTCGCAGCGGCTACACGCACCCACCTGCGGAGGCGATCTCGGCGCACCATGGCTGAGTCTTATCCCATGCCGCACGGTGCACCGACCCGGAGCACAGGGGCGCCGAGGGGCCCGCAGCCGCGCAGGGCGGACACAGCCCACGAGGGCGGCGCCGGCCGCGGCAAGCAGCGCACGGCCACCCGGGCGTGCGCTGCGGCACTGCGCGAGGCGCGACTGCCGCAGAGGAGGCGCCGGGATGTGCTGGTTGCCGCGGCAGCGCAGAGCCAGTGGGCACCGTCTTTTAGAGACCACCCGCGCCCCGCCCCTGGCCCGCCCACAGCGCCGCAGTGTCCCTCCCACCGAAGCGGCCCTCCCTCCCTGCAGCCCCCACTGCTGCTGCTGCGGAGGTGGTGTGTCGCTCTCACAAAAGCTCCTCTAGGGGGCACCTTCAGGGTGTTGACCCCCGCTAGCACCCCGCTGCTCCCTCACGGCCCCCCAACCCTGGGCTCCACGTTCTGTAGCAGAGGCTTCTCTGGCGAGTTAACGCCGCAGGAAAAGACAGCAGATCCCTGAAATCCTAACCCTCCCCTTAGACCACCCAATGGGCCCCCTCCCCAGCGCCAGAAGTGGCCACTAGACCTCAGGTGTGGCACCTGGTCGCGTTCGGCGCCATGCCCAAGGCATGGGTTCTGAACTACGCGATTGCCCAATTCAAAGCAGCGGTCCATGAGTGCCCAGCACCTCCTAGGTCCTTAACTGTGGGTAAGGGCACAAACAAGTGGCTAGGGAACGACAAGCTCTGCTCAAAGTACCACCGGGGTAATCGCCTGATTAATGGATGGCTGCTTCGGAGCTAAAAGGTCACAACTAGCGAAACGCCCGAGTCTCGCTCCGCCACTGGGCACGTCTCCTTTGCAGCAGCACGACGTGGGCATCGTACCAGGGCCCGGCCGCAACCCTCCCGCGGCACCCACTCCAGCAAAGGACCTGTCCCGCACCAGAATTAATGATCATCACAGTTAGGAGACCAAAGTCCCCCTTTATGTAAGATGGAGTTCACAATGCAAGGACCCCAGTGGTACAGAAAAGTGGGAAGGATTTTTTTTCTTCACCCATAATTGTTTAAAAGGCACCTATTACTCCTTTCAAAATAAAAGTGTAGAGAATCACAGTGTCTGTGTTCATTTGCTGGCTGTAAATTGAAATTCGGAGGAACGCACGCAGGCTACAGGCGAGCTAGGCAGCCAGAGCAGTGCCGGCTCCCTCCAGTGGGGGCGCTGCAGGCCTCTCTTCTCTCGCGCCTGCCGGCCACTCAGCCGAGAGCGCAGAAGAAGCGCAAATGGCAAAGGCTGGCCCAGCAGAGCCCACCCAGTCCTAACAGCGTACCAGGGAACCGAGGGCCACCAACCACACATGGGAGAAACAACCACCTATGAGCATGTCATCAGAACGTGTGGCTCAATCCAAAGTACACTTCTACTGGTGTCCAATTAAGGGGGTCATGAAACGAATGCTTATTTAGCACCTACAATGCGCTAAGAGGTGGGGATACAAATATGAACGAGAATGGCCCCTGCCCCAGAGCAAGAGGCTGACCATCCGGTGGGGAAGACAGGCAAGAACCGATGCTGCTTAAATTTTCCCTTTCATTTCCTGGCCACATCTTGTGACAGGTTGGCCCCCTCCCCCAAACATGTAAGGCCCTCAAAGGCTGAACCCAAGTATTATTCAACTTTTGTATCCTCAGAGCCCGCCACAGTGCCGGCCACAAAGCAGGCCCCTAATAAATACTGCATGAATAAGTACAAGAATTTGAGGGCGCACAGAGGAGGAAGTAATTAAGGGGAGGGGGGAAGGGCAAGGGTTGTCTTGAATGATGAATAGACATTTACCAGAG